AAGACAGGTGGAGGCCAAAGAGTTTATTGTGCTTTTTGTGTGTTGTATGAACCAAAAAAACGTCTGTATGTTTGGAGTTCTCTCCTTTTTCGCTCAATCTTTCAACCTTGGTGGTTAGGGGCACATAGGCGGCAACACTGGCTTTTTTAAAGTAAAAAATCCTTTAAAAATTGCAGTAATGTCTGTTTATTTTTTCTGAAATTGGAAAATAAACAGATATTACTGCAGCTATTTTCTTGAGGGGAAAAGACTGAATCCCAAATACAGAATCAACTAAAAATGTCAAGATATCAAGAAAAAGACCTTGAAAATTTGTTCTTGAGAACAAAATTGATTTTGGAGACAACACTCCTGCAGCCTCCAGCTCCCATCTGCTGTTCTTAACAGGTATCTTTTACATGTGTTTAGTGAAATCTGCTTTGTAAATCTGGTGGAAAAAAAGTTTTTTTTTTCCCTTATAAGTTTTTAAACAGGAGTTTCTTTTAAAACCTTACAGCCATGTTAAATAAATTAGAATTTCTAATCCAATGAGACTTATTTGTCACATTAGAATTACTTTTTGAAAGATAAAACCATAAGCAAATATTGAAAGTACTTTTCATTAAGCTCACTTTTAGCCATTTTAAGAATTAAATCCTTGAGCATACGGTGGGGGAGGAATCATTTTTAGTTAAATCTTCCACTACTCTTTGCTCCAGCTTAAGTGAGTATTTTTGATTCTAAAAAGGGATAAAAAAAATAAAAATAAAAAATTTGAATCTTGCTTGTTTAGGAAGTACAGTAATCTCTGCTGCCAGTGGAGTCAGAGTTTGTGGGTAGGTTCTTCTGTTTTACTTCAAGTTACAAAGTAAAGAGATTCATTTAGAGACAACATTGACTAATTCTGAGAGAAGGAGCCAAGAATACACCCAGTCCTCATCGATTGGCTCTTTTTTTTTATTTCCAAAAGATCTGAGTTGCAGCACCACGAAGCATACTTCAAATTCTCACAGGATGTCAAATGACTATAAACACACTATGAATCATCTCGCAGCCGCGCTGAGTAGCTCTGGAGAGGGAAGGCCATATTTCCATTCACAAAAAAAGTAAGTAAGAGCTGTAAAGTAGCAGCCGTCAAACCTGCTGAAGATAAAAACCAGTTTCACTTATATTGCAAGCATTTCATTGAGTGTGGAAATTATGAAAGCAGAAACGTAAACCCGTGACCATTTGCATGAAATATTAAGTCATTTGTTTTATTAATCTCTTCCACTTTTATTGTCTGACACTTTTATAATTGCCTGTTAATATTTAAAAATTCCCTCATCTCTTTCCACTTTATTTCACTAAGACTGTATGAGACAGGAATTATTAATGAACTAAAATCATCACACATTTATTTTTTTTTCCATAGGTTTGTATGTATGAATGTTCATCTAATCATTGCTTCTAAAATCACTTAAGTTGTTTGTTGTGTAACCTATACACAATACACAATAAACAACTGAAAGGTTTAAATAAACCATTAAAAGCCCAACATAAATATATGCCATCTGTGCCAACTGGGCGTCATTGTAGCTCTTCTATTTATTGTAACAAATTTGTGGTAACACTCTTTTTGAGAGGGTCACTAGAATTTTTTTTTTTCTTTCTAGGAAGCATAAATGAAATAGAAAACACAGAAAGATGAAGACAGAAATAAAACTAAGGACAAAAATGCAAGCTGAAAACCACAACAGGGCAATGCATGAAATTACAAACTGTTGTCAGAAGTGGAGTATCTGATTTGCACTACTCTGCATGGTGGCTTGGTGAAATTAACGCCTGCATGAATAACTTTTTAAAATGTCAGCCAAAAGTCCTTGGGCTAGTCCAATGAGCTGTGGTCATGTTTGTTTTCATGCAGAACTGAAATCAGTCATGCTAATTGATTTGCAGCCAGTCGAATAATGAAACTAAATTAGATTCCCCCCCTTATATCTGATTCTGAACTGTGTGCTGGAGCAGCAGTGCAACCAAACCCAAAGGCAGAGAGTGATCCCTGGATCATGTTATAAAAATGATGCTTTGGATGAATTTTTCACAAACTATTACTGCTTTGCAACTACCTAATTGCTATGAAATGGCTAATATATATATATTTTTTTTTCTGGCTTAGGACAGACTAAGTTGTTAAAATAATGTTAACTCACATCCCCTGTGACCATATCCAGCCTCTTCATTCTTTCAATTCTGCTCTTGCAGTGTTTCAAACAAAATTATCCACCAAAACTATCATTACCCTTTGAACTCTTACACACAATGTCATGTGATATCAGCAAATCTCTATGTATTTTATGCGATAGATAGCATAAAGTAGTGCCTAACTATGAGGAAGGAAGAACGTGAGAGGTGGCTCCTCAAAAGTTTTAATAAATAAAACACTGCCTTTCCATTTGTTTTCAGCATCCTTTACACATGTACCCCTAAATAAACCCAGGTACTAACAAGTTTCTTCAAAAGTAACAAATAATAAAGTCCATCTTTGTGTATGTTCATCTCAGTATAAATACAACTTCTCTTTGAAGTCCTCACAGGTTATTTAAAATACATTAGTGAACATTAGCGGCATCCTGAAAGTCAAAGGATTTAGAGACCATATTCAGTCCTCTGAACATCTCACAGCTCACTGCTGAAAAGCAGGCCTCATAAACGTATAGGTCAGACAGAGAGAATTTAACAGAAGCAGCCAAGAGGCCTGTGATGCCTCCTCACAGATCAGATGGGAGTATTTGTTTAGAAGACAATTATTAGCCACGCATTAATAAATCTGAATTCTAGGGAAGTGAGATTGAAAGGCATTGTTAAAGGAAGACACAAAAGTATCTTTTTTTGTAGAAGAAGGTTATCTACTCAAATACAAATGTATTTCTTGAGGATGCTTAGGTTGCTGTAGTAATATTGCAGAGTTGAGCATCTTCAACAAGTCTGCAGACTAGAAGGCAAATATCTTCTGCAGTCCACGGCTTATAAACAGGCTTACAAAGAAACTTGGCTCTGTTCAGGAAATTGCTCTGGAGCATCTGGAGCTCAGTATGGAAAGAAGGATGTTTGTTTCATGAACAAAAACATTCCAGACAACCCTGAGTATCCTCTTCACAACATAAAAGCTTCAATGAAAGAGATTTCAGGTCAAGGGCCTCCTCAAATCAACTGCACTACATGCAATTCTCCCACCCAAAGCTAATTATTTATAGTTACTAGTGAAAGCTCCAATACAATGTCTAATTGTGTTATTCCATGGTTCTTGACTGTTGGCTGTCACTTTGATTTTGTATGTCAACTGTTTTGACACTTATGGTGTTTCATACATGGTTTACTTACTAATGTTTAGTGGTTCTCAGTGCTTAGTGTATTCTTTTATTTGTTTAGATTTTTGTTTTTGTGGATGTCTTTTACCTTATGCCTTAATAAGGTCCGTTGTTTCCTGTATATATCTACCTTTGATCCAGTTGCTCTCTCCTGATAAGTGCCACCTGGTTCACATCGACTCAGCAGTTAACAGCCACACGGTTTCATTTCATCCTTGTCAGATCCTTCTATTTTCTCTGTATTCTCTGCTGTTCCACATGTGATTGTGTATCTGTTGCTTGATTTTTCCCTCTCATAAGTTCGCTACATGCACTCAGGTTGGATTTTTATATTTTAAGACCTTTCAATAAATATTCATATTTCAACTACATGTATGTTGCAACCATACATATAGACAATTTTCTTTGGGATTAATAACAGATTGGTGATTGAAATTAAACTGAAATTTAAATGGAATGGGACTGTAACAGAACTTTTTGGCTCATTTCCATATCTGGAAAATCCATACTGAACGCATTTTTTAAGTCACTTATCATTTGATTGTACAGTGACAAAATGTTCAAGGGGGTATGAATACCTTTGGCAGATGAAAAATTTACTCACTGTCACCTCTGTCATTTCAGAGAAACATCTGCACACATCTTGAATTAAAAGAAAAAATGGAAATGAACAGATCATTTCTGGCAGTGTCACTCCAAGCTGTATTCACAGAATAATCCAATTGATATTTGTCTTCATGAATTTTTCCTAAATTCAGAGACGAGAAGAAAAAGATCGAGAGTTTCCATTTCAGATCAATCATTCTGGAGAACCCTTTATTCAGATAATCTCATTTCAATCAGACTGCCTTTGTTGGAAAGGCAGTGAAAAGTCACAGATTCCTCTTTCTTGATTTAATGAATGAAGAGGAAGTTTTGAATCGCTTCCCATTTCAGAAAATTGAGCAGGAGAGCCGGTTTACCACACAGGCGTACCGAATATAGCCCCTTCTTGTTCGGGAATCAATAAGAACTGTGGATCCTGCTCAAACACACACCCTGAGCAACAAACATAGCCGTGTTTCACGCAGCTTCATGGGCGATCATCAACTCTGAGACCTGTGCTCATGGACACCACAGCAGAGGTTTGCTGGCAGATCATGATCAGAGGTCTGTGTGTTTCTCTTTCCTAAATAAACCATGACCTTTACTAGAGTAGGGAGGCCATGGAAGCAATCTGCTTGTATAATTGCCTGTCAGAAGGGAGCCTGTTACTGCTGGGGAAAAACACAGCATATCTTCCCCTAATCTACAAAGAACAGGTGCGAAGTGTGCAAGCATTGTGTCAAACGAAGGGAGGATGTGCGTTCAGGCGTATTGAACACATAAAATAATTAATTTTCTCTTTAACGAGTACAGGATGAGATGGGTGCGGCTCAGAAAAAGAGAATTTCTGCGGGTTAAAGTTGCCTGATTGTTGCTTAGTTAAATCCCTCCATGTAGGTGTGCGTGGAGGGGGAGGAACGTGTGGCACTGCAGCTTGTGCCTCAGTAACTGTTCTTTCCTTAAATAGCTGCTGTCATAGTTACTGCATGCCTGTGGGCAGGTTGTTGGAATATGCTGGCACCTGAACGCTTTAAAAAAAAAAAAAAACTTCTGAAGGAGCTGTGAAGTTTGAAGTTCACTCCTCACCTGCTTCTCGTTTTCGTCCTCCAGCCGCAAACGCTCCTCGATGCAGTTGCGCGCCTGCAGGAAGACCTTCCTCTGGGTACGCTCGGTCAGAATCCTCACAAACACACCCGACAGGTTCACACTGGTGAAGAGCACGGCGTTAGCCGCCAGCTGTAGACAAACAAGAGCAGACATGCCTAATGAAGCTGCATACATCTGCACATGCAAGCCTCTGTGTGCAACCGGCAGTCCCCAGTAGAACAATGTAGAGGTGGACAGAGAGCAGGGTTACAGCACTGAAGACCAAAAACTGTACAGACGAAAGGCGAAAAGGCAAAAAGGCAAAATGCATCTCTAATCAACACCTAACGTGTTACTTTGTATCTTTAATTCTGAACAAAATAGATTTTAGAGATTAAAGAAATGTAGTCATACAAAAGACTTAAGAATCAAGCAGATGCATCTGAATAAATCAGAATATATCATGGAAGTTATTTTTCAATAAATAGTTTCAAAAAGTATAGTTACTGACATAGCGACGCATTTTTGACAAGAGACAGACATTTTGTCTTGGTAGAGTGCAAAAAAAGACTGCACTGTTGCTCAGTGGTACAAAGTCCTCCTTTTAGATTCAAAATTCATTTTAACCTTCAGTTGTAGATAAAAGTTTCAGAAAGGAGAGGCACAGATTCCAAGTAGTTTGTAGTGTGAAGTCTCCACAGTCTGATGACTTGGGTATCCATGTCATCTGCTGATGTCGGTTCACTATGTTTATCAAGTTCAGAGTTCACACAGCTGCCAAACAGGATCATTCAAAGCACTTCATGCATTCATCTGCTGACAAACTTTAGGGTAGAACTGCCAAAATTACCAATATCTCCTTTTCCAACAATAGTGCCACCTTGCTTGTCTCTCTAGCAAATTGGCCTGACCTAAACCACGACAGATGCTCAAAAGAAATAAACGAATACATTTTGTTATTACACAATGTTGTAAATTTGGGTTTTCGTCAGCTACAAACCATAACCGTTCAAGTTAACAGCAATGAATGCTTAAGAAATGTCACTGCAATATTACTCTGTGAAGATAAGTCATGCAAAAATACCAATTTCACTCTTTGAATTGAAATTCTAAAAAGATATAACTTTTTCAAAGATATTGAAATTTAATGAGATGCACTTGGAATAGCATAACAAAAAAATTATATATTCATATTTGGGTAAAAATAAAAACCCTACTTAGTTTCCTAAATCTTCAAATGATGGACCAAATGTCATCCTAGCACAGTGTGCCTAACTCCAGCTCAAACTACTGCTATTCTTTTAAAGTGGTCTTAATGAATAGTTTTCCAGGCTTCCTGAAAAAGCTTTGGCTGATTTTTCACTTTTTTCCTCCTATCAGAGCATGGCAGCTTATTATGCAGTGCGTTCTTAGAAAATAAGACATGCAGCGAAAAGGCAGTCAAAGTCTGAAAGAGGTTCATTAGCATTGGAAAACTATTAAAAAAAGACTTCTTTAAAATAGTTACAAGGCAAAAAAAAGACTACTTGGAAGATAAATATAGAAAATTAGACAGACTTTTGGGCAGTACTGTCAGTATCCATTATCACCAATGAAGAGGGGAGATGGATAATGTACATTTCAAGTACAGGATGTGAAATGTACGCTTGTATCATTGCTTTGCTTTTGTTTTTCAAGCTTTCCTCCAATGACAAAAAACATGCATTTGTATTGTAGCACAGAGGCATATGTACTGGGAACAACCTGTACTATAATGAAAACAGATGTGGAAGAAAAGATTTAGTCCTTAGATTTTTTTTCTTACATTAGGTAGGAGATCTATTTTTTTATCAAGGTGAAATCATGTTTCAATTATTTTCTGGGTTTCTCAAAGATTGCAAAAAAAAACTACAGAGATTAATTTGAGATAATTAGCAAGCCTTAGATACATTTTGTGTTGGCAGAAAAGATTAAGGTCAAATGTCTTCAATGTTTATATAGTGACCAACAATAAACATATGTATCCAGTATACAACGACTGTTTTATTGCTGGTGCTCAAGCATTCCTGAGACGGAGTCAACATGGGAATATTCCATTTCATTTGGAAATCAAGGTCCTAGAGAGTCATGATTCATGTTCTTTGCCATGTCCATGCCGTGTTTAGCCACTCATTCAGCTCACCTGTCTCACCTGGGTCCCGCCCTACTTAAACACCTCTCATCTTCTGCCCCCGAGCCAGTAGAGATCCAGTGTTTTCTTCCAAGCCTTCAGTGTATTTCCTGCCCACTGACATGATGGGTGGTGGTAAGGTGAGGAGAAGACGCTGGGACCCAGGATGTAGATGAAGTAATGGTTTTAATAAAGATAACTCGACAGTCCAGAACTGGCAGCACGGCAGAGTTAGCAACAGCTAATACCGGTAGCAACAGATAAACGGACTAACATGCGAGCTAACACAATCCAGGACTAATGCAGTTCCACTGGAGAGTGTGGCAGGACAAACAGGCGTGGCAGCAAACCACAAACTTAGACGTTTGACAAGGTCCCGACCGAGAACACAGACAACAGGTGAGACTAAATACACACGGGGTAATCAAGGGAATGAGACACACCTGGGAGACAATCAACGGGGAGGACAGGACAGAGACTCACATGGAAACAGAATCACACAGAAAAACTCAACTAAACACGGATCATGACACCCACCTCTTCTGTCAAGCTCTTTACCGATCCCATCTGTTTCGGATTTCTGGACCCTGACCCAAACTGTGCCTCGCGACCACCGAGTATTGCCTTGCTCACTCTGTCCTCCTGTGTATTATCTCAGTTTGATCATCGTCTAAGTCCCTCAATGTTGGGGCTCTCTACAGAGAAGACCTCTCTGTAGAGCTCTTCTTTGATTCGTTGCACTCACAGAAGCCTGTTCAATCTGGCCAGTGAAGCCGAACATTTCAAACATACCCCTGCTTTATCTGTGCATCGCCAGCTTTCTCCCCTGTCTGCTCAGAGCTGTGTTTGTTGACCTCATACCGAGCAGTAACCAGAATTTGAAACTAAAATTAAACTTGTTTGTTCCTGTTGAGTACTGCTGCGTGTGGTTGAATTTCCGGGTCCCCACTGAGTGTCCTTACACCTAGAGTCTGAAGACAGAGTGGGGAGGCACAGAATCCAAATTTCTTGAGATCCAGAGTGAAGTCTTCACAGTCCCCGATGTTATGGAAAACCATGGCATAAAGGCCAAAGTAAAAGCAGCCATTTCCCAGGAAAGTCTTGGCACCGTGTGTGTGTGTGCGTGTGTGTGTCCAGCTGATGTGATCATTTCCTCTTTCTGCAGTACCTACTGACTTCAAACTTCCTTCTTAAATGGCCATTGTATCACCATGCTTGATTCACCAGCAGACTCACAGAACCAAAACCCTAAAGAGAACAATTGGATATCATGGTGTGGAAAATGACAAACTTCAGAACAGTGTGGAAGACCTGGAAACGCTGAATAAATAAATAAATAAATAATAAATAAATAGACTGATCACTCATATGCCTCAATGTACTGGCGCAAAAATAAACTCTGATAAAGTAGTACATATGCATCACAAAGTATTTTAAGCATGTTACGAGTTTCACTTCCTTTATGGAATCGCTGGAAAACAAAGTTTTTAATTACGTTCTAATTATAGAGATGCAGCTGTAGATTTCAATGCTCGCAAAAGCAAACGGTGCTACATGACCGCAGCAATGTGCATCTCAGAAATACAGATCAGCAGCTCTGTCTGAATCCCGATTCAGCACCGAGAGCCGGACAGCTCCTCATCCGCTTCATCTGCTGCGGAAAAAACAGACACATCTTCTCGTCCTGGGGCGAAAATCGATGCACAGTGTTTTATTAACCTTTGCTTCTCCGGGGAAAGTTGGATGCGTAAACATGCTGCCTCTTAACTATCAGAGCGAAGCAAAGTAATCCGCCTCCACAGATCAGAGATACTTGGAGTGAAGTTGAACAGTGAAACTTGGAGTCAGAGCTCGTATGTTATCCTGCATCAGATTAGTTTCAGATTACCCAAACTGTGGGGTGTGGGTGCATTCTGGTGCAGGTGCAGCACTCACCGGTCTCCACAGCTTCTGCTTCATCCCCGTCACGGACGTCGCTATTACTATGAAGTGGGATGCAGACAGCATCACCCCGAACAGCACGGCCAGCAGCGTCCGTACGGGAAGCAGCACGTAAGCCACCAGGGTGACCAGCATGAGCTGCCACACGCCTTGCTCCGGGGTTGCGGCGCTCATCGTTTCCGGCGTGCCGAGCGCCAGCGGGAACGGACAGCAGAGCAGCGCGAAGGTGAAGCTGAACAGCAGGGCCAGCTTGGCGATCTGCTGCAGCTGCGTCACCTGCAGGTACTTGACGTTGGTGACGATGAAGAGCGACAGGAACACCACGCAGTGCACCGGGTAGGAACCCTTGGACAAGGTGAGCCGGGGGCTGGACAGCAGCTCCACCAGAGACAGCGACGACGCGGCCACGATGAGCACCGCCAGAGCCTTGAGGGTGGCGGTCTGCTCCAGCTTCAGGTTGTAGTTCTGGAAGAGAGCCTCCAGCTCCTGGCTGTTGAACTCGTCCTCGCAGGCGATGGCTCCCAGCGGCGTGCCGGGTGGGCAGCGTCCCTTTCTCCGCCGCGTCTTAACTCTTTCGAACGGCATCTCCTCCATGGTCCTGCCATTCATGAAGCTGAGGTGGGAGGGAGGAGAAGGGGGGTTGGCGCACGACCCCTCAACTTTTAGACTACTCCCCCCCTCTGGAGAATGAAGCTGGCACCCTCTCCCGGGTCATGGATGATGGATGTCGGGCTCGGAGTCAGAGGAGGAGAGGGTGGCTATGGCGCATCGCGCGCGCTCTATCCACAGGTTGATAGTTGTTGGTGTGCAACCCGACCACTGTGCGCCTCTCTCTCTCTCTCTCTCTCTCTCTCTCTCTCTCTCCCTTTCTATTTCTCTCGGCGCGCGCAGACCACCTGCTTTGCCTCAGATGGGGGTCACCTGCGCTCCAAGTTAACTTAAAATCAGGTTTAATTACCAAAACACATCTCCAAAAAAAGCAAAGCAAAACATCGTCCTTCACAAAAATTGTTTAAAAGCACATTTTATTATCTTCCTCCTTTAAAGCATAATGTTTCAGAGCCTCCCTTGTTGCTGTTTGATTTGCTTCAGTGAAGGGTCACTGGTTGGATGAAGACAGCAGCAGCGCTGGTGATTTCCCCTCTCAGTGTCTGCAGTCATAGCTGATGTAGTCCCCGGCTAAAAATAGACCAGCTGCACCGGTGGATGGTCCAATATAGCAACAATTTGGTCTTTCCCACATCTCTCTAGCCCCCCTTCCCCCCAAACACAGTCAGACATTTCACTGCAGAGTAAAATCCTTCTAGCAAGTAAAGAATTAACGGAAATAAACCCAGCGGAGGTTGCGCCCATGGGAGGTTTGAATAATAATAATAAAAATAAAAAACAAATAAATAATCAGCGCATGTATGAATGATGACGTGCATCCCAAAATGTGCTGCTCCGTTATGGTGGAGGGTATGTTTTGCATATTTGAAATTACGCAACCCTGCTCTCAGTATTTCACTGTCGTGTGCCCTGTTGATATGTGAGAGTTAAATTAATTTCCCCCGCCATAGATAAATGCGGCAAAATCTGAACCATAGTGTGAAGTGAAGGTAAAATAACTGACACTGACACATAGTTAAAACATATTTCGTGATTGATGAGTAACTCTTATTTCTTATACAAAGAGTAAGGGAGTAAAATTACTCCTTACACAGACATTTATTGATCCATATATATTTATCTGTGCTCTCACCTCCTGACCGATCAGCCACATTCTCCAGCATTACAAAGCTTTATTGATTTGTGCTTATGCTCCTTTTATCACCATATTAGACTTTGGAGCTTATGTCAGGTCAGATTCCCTAGTATTCAGTTCAAGCTTGTTCTCAAACAGTTCACAATTACCTGGACCATTAAAAACATCAATCATCCTGCATCTATTCCCTTTGTCAAGCAGAAACTCTCTCTCTCTCTCTCTCTCTCTATATATATATATATATATATATATATATATATATATATATATATATATATATATATATATATATATATATATATATATATATACACACACACACACCCTTTTGTAGCCTTTGCACCATAAAGATGCAGCATAGGTCCTCCATCAGCACATACTTTCTTGTGTGTCTTCCAATATCAGATCAGACAAAAAGGCAATCAAAGCTTTTAAAAATCAATGAACCCCTCATCTCTAGAAGACAGATGTAGTGGTTTTGATGGTCACACTATTGACCTTGTTTACCTTTGAACATGTGGTTTAGATTGCTTGGATGTCTGAAGAAATCAATGAGCCACCTCATCGATGCTTCAAGTCAGTCGATGCGAGGCACTCTGGGACTGTTGAAACGAAATATCGCTTCATGCACATGCTGAATTACTATCTGGTCAATATCCGATATGTTTTTCCTCACCTTCAATCATTATGAAGTGGACTTTAAAAATCAATAGATCAGAAACAATTTGACATCTAACTGAACTACCCATTTTGAATTAATTTGAAATGTATGAAAAAGTCCAAATTTGACCACAAATGCAAAGTATTTTCAGTTTTGCTGACTCAATTGCTACATAATAAACCTTTTTATGTCCAACAGCTTCAGCTGTAAAAGTTGGAACAAATGTTCACAGTAAAACATATTACTGCCAAGTAATACATTTTACATTGAAGGTAAGAACAAGAAGCCAGAGTCCTACTAATGCTAAAAAGTTAATTAAGCTGGGAGGAAACTAGACATCAATCAAATAATTAAGACATTCAGTTGAAGAAATGGAAATGAGGCTGCAGACTTTGTTTTACACCTCAAGAGATCATCATGAAGAATTAACTAATGAAGTTTCATGCAACAAATTTAACAAAGTACTGCCTAGCATTGACTATGTAGATTCTAGAGTTGCTTTTTCACTAGAATGGGTCCATAATTACAAAAGAAAAAGCACAAGGCTTCTTGCTTTTATTCATCGGCATTCTGGATAGTGTCTGGGAAAGTCAGAAACCGTTGGCAACAAAAAATCCAAAAACCCAAAATGCTCCATTCTTGATGACCGATTCTTGTCTTCCTTCAATACTCCATCTTGGATTTACCTATTGAACTCGATTTGTCTGATTGGACTTCAACCAATCAGCGAACAAAAGGAAAAGTTGTGAACGACGACTCTGATTTTCTGCACTATTTTGTAACAGTAGTCTGCCTGAAGTTTTAGCAATGATAGCAGAGGAAATGAACAAAGCCATTTAGTCTGTATTGGCCAAGCATTCAAATATTGAATTAACAGTGACAGCCATCTTGTTCAGCTTGGCACTTCTGTCTTAGTGGTGGGGGGCGTTTGTTTACAGCGCAGACAATTACTGGTGAGCTTCATAGCATTGAACTGGCACATTACCTAGTCATACATCCTGTTTTCATAGAAAAATAGTTCAGAAGAAAAAACATCAAAGACAAACAAAATACAACCAGACATTCTTTTGACAAGCTGCTACTATCGTGGTGTGAGACCTTCCGTGATCTTTAATCTGTTTGGGTTGTTTTCATATCACTTTTCTCCACATCCCCTTCAAAGCGTCCTCCCTACCTGTGTAGGTGACTATGCCTCGGACAGGTTTCTCTTTAAGTTTTAGATTGGCTTCATTTCTGTGACTACAAAAGTGACAGATGCAGATTTTTTGGAGCACCCCTCCCTTCAGAATCCCTGACAATCCCCCCATTGCCATGGCAACAGAGGCAGTAAGTTGTGGCTGATACGCTGCTGAGGTGTTTCCCAATCTGACAGCCCAGCTCTCAGTCTTTGTTGGTATCTCTTTACTTTCCCCTCTCTCTCTCTCTCTCTCTCTCACACACACACACACACGCATACACATTCTCCTCTTTTGCATGTCAGGTGGATTTTTTCTTTTTTTTCTTTATTTGGACATGATGAGTGTCTGTATCCCTCTTTGGTGCCACAGTGACACAGGCGCCCTGCCCAGCCCTGCTCCCTCATTGTGCTCACTGACATTTTCTCCAAATTGAGGCTCTGACATGACGCAAAGCAAAGTGAAGATGACGCTTCAGAGGTGACCAGACCACACAGACCCCTGGCACCTTCACTCAGCAGGCGGCCTCATACAACAAGTTTGTACTTGTCTTGTTCACTCACTTACCATGTACAATAAATAACTGTTTTATTTTATTTTGTTTTATTTTATGTTCTCTTTTCTTTTTTAAATACACAGCAGTGTAGCTGTACAGTGGCACAACTGGAAGCACTGTTGCCTTTCAGGAAGAAGGTCCTGGATTCAAATTATACAAAACAAAGTATTTGTCAGGTACTTCATCAAGATATCTGTTGTGAATTGGTGCTACACCAATAAGCTCAGCTGAATTGTTCTGAATATAGGAGCATTTCTTCTACTTTCCTGTATTTTTTGTTGTTGTTGTTGTTGTTGTTTTGTGTGTATTTTGAACAAAATGGATAAAAACAAGCTAAACAGAAGAAAATCTCAAACACAAATCTGATGAAATGTAAAACATGCAATTGACGTAACCGGTTGTCTCAAACCATGCGACATGATGACTGCACCTCTGATTAATCAGCAGAGTTATCACAGTCAGGTGGTTTCCTTCACATAGACCGTGTAACTTGGATTTTGTGTGCAGTGTGAGCCAGTTGGCAGGAAGAGAAATGGGAACTGGTCTCTTTAGTCGCATTCATAAATAGACGCTCTCCAACAGAGCTAAGGAAGCTACTGTTGCAGCCATGGTGTTGTTTGCATTCATGAATAAACCTGCTTCCTGTCATTCATGCAAACACAATTAGCTCCATGCTTCACCTGTGAGGAAATGAAACAGATGAACACAGAAACCTCCTCTTATATGCATAAATGCTAATGAAACCGCTGAAAACCTCATTAACTCTATTGTGATCATAATTGTGCTGAAACACAAAGTCCATTTATCATCTGTATATGTGGAGACAAGTAGAATTTAAATAAAACTGAAAAATAAAAGTTTGTCATAAAAATAATCTGCCAAAATAATCTGGCAAAATATATCTTTCATAGGTTCTCTTTAAGCATCACATCTTCTGAAAGATTTCATGCTTATTCTGATGCATAGGGTGGGGATTAAAAAACACAGAAAGAAAGTGCATTCAGAAGCAGAGTCAAAGTACGTTGTGTGTGTGTGTGTGTGTGTGTGTGTGTGTGTGTGTGTGTGTGTGTGTGGGTGGGGGCTCTTGCGTTGCAGTGTGCGTGTGGGAGTGTTATTGAGAGATATTTTTAATTCTATATGTCATTGGCTCTCATCTCCCTTAGCAAGAGACATCGGCGGGAAGCTTGAAACATTTCCAATACTGCTATCATTTAAATTCACACACATCTACTTGTGTGCAGGCATACACATTTGTGCACACTTGTACAGTTTCAAGAGCCTTTCATATGGAAGCAGTTGCATCTTTGACAATTGAAAAAAGCCTCCCGGATTGTCTATGGATTTTGTGTTGTTTTTTTCCAAGTGCTTTTGAGGGAAGTTCTACATCTTAATGTGAACCTAGGGTGATGTAATTACAGATCAAGTGATTTTTATTTTATTTTATTTTATTTTTTTTACAAAAATCTGTTCACCAAGGTACATCAAAATCCAAAACAATCTGTTCTTCTCCATGCTGAGTAAAATAGAGACTATATAGCTCCACTGACACCACCAAGTCACATTGACCAAATTATACCAAACCACAAGTTAGAGAATGACAATATTAATTCCCTGTGGAGTAACTGCTGTCGATCTAATGACTTTCTATTATCCTGTTGCTTTTAGGAGTCTGCAAAGTCACTGTGGACTGCAAAGCAGGATTAGGTTTTCTCTCAAGTGGCAGGTAAATTGATTTTGCTCTCACTCGTCTTCATGATGCAGCTTGTGAAAAGCACAAATGTCTCAATCACATCCCACAGCACATGTATAATGACTTTATGTACCCCCACCCTCAAGCTGAAGATGTGACAATCCTGATAGAGTATATAATTTGCAAAAACATGTTGATGCTGAAGTACAAGAGATTACAAATGTTCTTGGCCTTCATATTGATGAAAATAAAACAGCTGATGTTATAATGGTATTGCCTCATCAAAAACATACCTGGAATGTTTCTTTGATTTTTTTTTTGTTTTGTTTTTCATGCATGTTTGAGGAATCCTTTATTTGGCTACTTATCAACAGGATGGTCTGTAAAAACAGCTACAACTTCTCTGTTCATCTTTGTCATATCTTCTGGTCACAAAAAAAAAAAATCTGGTATGCATAAAAGGAAACATAATTCAGTTTAATATGTGGAGCAGAGGCTTGTAGTAATGCTTTTTCTAATATAATAATATATAAGTTTGGAAAGGAGTCTGTACACTTCATAAAAACATACCATATAAATTTCATGAAGGTACTTTCCAGAAAGTATTCTGTGGAAGAGCTGGTTCTCTGCAGTAAGGGAAATATTCAGCATTGAGTTAGTTGTGTTGTGAAACAGTTTCAGTCCAAATCGAATAGATTAATGAGCAAAATTGCAAATAGTCACTATGAGCAGGAGCTTCCTGTGCATTGGCTTAAACATTGGCTCATATACTTCACTGTCTGTAGCTCCACTCATCAAATATTAAAGAGGTGGTGTGAATTATTGATCCCAATCAATGGCTGCAGATCAGAGCTCACAGTAGAGGAACTAATGTGTGGGCGAACATGGTGCTCCAGATAAACTGCAACTGTACAGTGTGGGCAAAGCACATAACTCTGATCACAATGAAATTAAGCACATATTTTTATGCTTACATATGTCAGGTTATACATATTTATATAAATCAATTTGCGCATGAAGTTACATAAAAATCTACAACTTTCTGTAATTTTAGATGCAGTCTCAAAAAAAAATTGGATCAGCAGTCAATATTGAAAA